GGGGGGGGGGGGGGGGGGCGGGGAGTGAAATATAAATAAATAGAAAGACAAAGTCCAAGGATAGTTTTTACACCACACCGCACCGCCATCGTAGAAATGCCAGTCGTTTTCCAGAGTTTATAACTTGCAGCAATACTATGTAAAATAGGAACAGCTTTTTTGAAGCATTTTCTTACGCTTGTGTCTTAGTTTTCTAAATTGACTGTAAAACTTTTTTTTTTTGATGCTGCTCTGGACGGCTCTCTTCGAGTAACCACTTTTAAACATGCCCGAATGTGGAATGACTCTTGATAAGGTTTTGAAATCGCCGCACGGCAGAGAAAGATGTTCAGCTGCACTAAACACTCGATCGCGCTTCGATGGAGTCATACATTTTCTGGAAAATGTGAAAATAAATTCTTTGCTAACAAAGAACTCACCTTCCAGTCACATGGCAAACCCAAGATTTCTCGTGCGATCACGTGCTAATTCCGAGTAACAATCGAGGCCATCCGAAGCTATGCCCGGAAAACGTTGAACAACCGACGATGTTCCGTACAAAACGGGGGCTAAGATCGGGGAATATAGGATCGAAATCGGGAGAGTTCGTTGTGGGCTCGGATTCTATTGTTACCCTCACTCGACGGGATAGCATTGTGGCCCTGGCAGTAAGCCACAAAAATCAGATAGAGGTACGGAGTTATCCATTGAGCTCTGGAAAATGTTTCTACAAATATCAGTCTATGATCGTTTATGTGTGAACTGCACCTGTAAATGATGAGTACTAAAGGATAACACTTAATCATGACTTGTCACAGCCTTAAAGGGGCTGTGTCACGGCAGTCCAGTTCATTTTGTTTAATTTTGCCAACTACTCGCCCTAAATCGCTATGGAACTTAAAGTAAGCAAAAAAATTACATGTAAATGACAAAATCAGAGATCCGTGACAAACAAATATGTCTCCTGAGCATTATTTTTGAAGTTTCAAACAGCAGGAATCAACTTTGAAAAACTGTTAGGCTGAACAGTTTTCAAAAATCCTTATTTCAATCCGTTTCAATCTTCTTCAGTTTTGCCCATCCGTGACATTTGTTGTTTCTGTTATGTTATTTTAACCTTCCTTTAAAGTTTTAAGAGGTTTATTTTTTTGTTTCTCTTAATTTAATGAGCACTTTGTAATTTCCTAATTTGGCTGAATTTCGTGACACAGCTCCTTTGAAGGGAAAACTGTCTTTTCACTGAAAATTAAAAATATATCTTTTTCAGCCCCAAAGTGCCAGTTCAGCGCTGCGGGCAAAAGTCTGATTCAGCGTCTCCTTGAACCATTTTAGCACAATTTAAGCCAAAACAGTAACATCAAAAGCCTATTTCAGCCCGTGTTTTCACGTGGTCCGAGCGAAGAAGTGAGGTCTGACAAAGATCCCCAATAGTAACCTGAATTTCAGACAATTACGTCTAGTTGTTTCCTCCTCTCAGACGAACAGTGCGCCTTTGCTTCTCCTCATTTTCGGAGAAAATCCAGGTATGCGCGCGCTCATTTCCCGGGAAACAGACTTCAGTGGCTAAAAATAACAAGTTAACCGAAATCCGACTCATATCACAGACTAGATTGGGCGTTTTCCCTTTGACCACTTATTTCTCTTGATTACTTCCAACCTCGTCCCCAGGGCGCCTTTCCTCTCTCTACACCTCTAAAGCTAGGAAAAAGCGCCCTGGGAATTAGGTTGGATTACTTCGCTGGCCTGTGAACTGGGAAGAACTGGTTAAAGACTGCTCAAAGTGGCGCAAACGATCGCGCAGCTTGAGCAAAGCAGACTTTAGATAAGGTGCCATTGTAATTAAATGATCAATCTATGTGGAATGAAGAAGTGTTACCCTCGTATAGAGTTTAAACTATTTGAATTAAATAACGAATATTAATAACTAATTTGTTTCTAAATCATTAATCTAGATTTGCCGAAAACCGACAAAGGTCGAAAATTTTCACCGACAACGGACATGTGGACCCCCATTCAGACTCTCAAATGCTTCATGTTTACGGCCATTTTAAGGATTGCCCAATATGAAACCACATGTATTAATGATTAAACTGCCATACTGAACTTGGGTCGCCTGTGGTCAAGACACCATTCTGGCCGGACATTTTCTGTTGACCGGCCATTATTTTGAGCCCTGAGGCCTACCAGGTATTTTCAATCCTGTTAGTCCTGGCCACCCACTGTTGGTAAATGTGTCCACTGTAGACCTATTTTTCTCGTTTACACCTGTTTATATTACAGGTCACCCGTCGTGTTTGGACATGAACATACAGCTGGTAGCAGTAATTCAGACCTATCCCTGGCAGTGCATGGAATGCAAGACTTGTATTATCTGTAGAGACCCATTTGATGAGGTAATAAACCCTCATGGACCACCACTTAAGATACTGTATTTATTATATAGATACTGATGAAATACCAGGATTTTTCCTTTTACTGAAAAATCATATCTTCATCGCGCGCAGTGAAGATACTATTTTTATCTTTCACGTGTGAGGATATTGGTGTCCCCATGGTTACTAACATGATTAGCCAATTACAAGAGAGCTTCCCGCTCAGGAGACTTTTTGGAATGATGTTTAAAGTAATTGTCTCTTTTATTTTACTGAGATAGAATCGTAAATGTATGGATGGTGTAGGTACATTTGTACCAAGTTGCACCGAATTTCTCTTATAATCCTCGAATAACCGCCACACCTAATCAAAAGAAAGCGACGTTTAAGGCGAAAAAGAATTGCCTTTAGAAAGAACTAAGTTTAAGCCAAAGTTGGATTAGCGTTAAAAACTATGAAGAGGGCTTGGTTCACTTATCATAGCGTTAATAGTTATAAAAACATTCTTTTACAATAGGGCCATTTATACGAGGAAAAATAAGACGCGTCTTACATAAGACGCGTCTTAAATAAGACGCGAACTTTCCGTATAAACGACACATTTCGTCTAAAATAAGACGCGGCTTAGCTAAGACGCGTCTTATTAGATAAGACATGCTCGAATAAATGGTACAGTTCGCGTCTTATTTAAGACGCGTCTTATTTTTCCTCGTATAAATGGCCCTAATATGTCGTTAAATTTTCGAAATTTTTGGGTCGGTGTGGTAGTGTAGTGTTTATACTGTACGAAAGGCCCATGTTCTATTCTCGGGGGGGAGGGGGTGCTCCCTTATAAGAGGTTAATGGGGATATCCCGCTGGATGGGATCGCATTTTCACGACTGGATTGACTATAATGGGGTTGCATTTTCAAAAGAGTCACTAGAATGGGGTCACATATTTTCGGATTTTTGGGGTAAGAAAGATCTTCATATTTGCGGTTAGCAATCGTACCTGGATGTTTGTACTGTAGGTGAAAAGGAAATTGTTTTTCATTCAATTTAAAAAATGGGTCAGTTCATTTTAGGATGACCTGTTTAAAGGTTGATAAGGTAGATACATGACTAGAAAGTGACTAAACTGGGATCGCGAAAATTACATAGTTGCCCAACAGTGACTAAGATGGGGTCTATTATTGGCCACAGAATAGACTATAATGGGGTAGAGGCTCTGAAAAATAAATTAACCCGAGTACCGCCCCCCACCCCCCCCTGAAGATCTGTTTTAAAGGTTGGAAAGGTAGATACAAGACCAGAAAGGGACAAAACGGGGTACCGGAAAATTAAAAATTGGCCCAAAAGGGTAAAAGAGGGGGTTTATTTTTGGCCACAGAAAAAAAAAAAAAGGGGGGGGGGGTTTGAAAAAAAAATTTACCCCAGTACCCCCCCCCCCCCCCCCCGGGTTGTATTCTGGGTTGTGAATTTCATGCTAAAAACTTTTAACAACAGCTCAAAAATTTTCTGAATTCTGTTAAAAATGGCGACAGTTGTTTACTAAAGGGAAATTTGCGTCGAGCGACAGAGTTAATGCGATTATTATTGTGATTGTTGATAGGACAAGATGTTGTTTTGTGATGAGTGCGATCGGGGATATCACAGTTTCTGTGTTGGACTCAAGCAGATACCTGTGGGTGAGTAAATATACACATTACACATTAATCATGTCAGCAGCGCTGACTAGAGCAAAGGAACAAAATTGTTTTCAATCTTTCTTCATTTATCACCACATAGAATGCTCTCGACTCATATAGGCTCGATTACCAGCCGCTGTTCGGGAAAGCGCTGGGCGGCTGAAATCGGGCCTAGTTGTCATGTAAATCATACAGAACTGTTAAGTTACCGAGGTCGCTGTAGCTCTAAGACTCTGCTCTTAAAAAAAATGGTAGGAAGTCTAGAAGTTAGGAACCTCGGGAAACCATAATACCAGCATAATAACAAATGTTTTGTCAAAACGGAGATTTTCTTTTCAAAAGTAAGTCATCAGAGCCTACTGAGATCTGCGAGAGTAGAACGCTTTATAGTTTAGGCACGGGATTGAATCTTGTCAACCGTTCAAACTTATTGTTTGTCCCATGCTCGAAAAGAGGAGCATTTCATTTTTATCGATCTTAAATCCTTTTTCTGGTTGACCAGGTCGTTGGACGTGTGACATGTGCGGAATGTGTGCATCGTGTTTGAGGCGGTCACCAGGCGAGGGATCAGCATCCAGATGGAAACACGAGGTTTGTGCGACAAAAATGAGGCCGAAGGGGATTTTTATCTATGGTTTCTTGGGTATCATCAAAGATTGGACAGCTTAAAGGGGCTGTGTCACGGCTGTCTGGCTCATTTTGTTAATAGAGCGATTTTCTTATGACCTTGAAATGAAAACGCGCGAACAAAACAGAAACAACAAACGAACGGAAATAGAGCGATTTGATTGGTTTATCGAAGGGATACAAACGCGCGTGGCTTTTGGTTGGTTAAGCCAACGCCCGAGTGAAAAAACTTCATGCCCGAGAACTTTCTAGAAATCAACGGATACTTCGCTTTGACGTCATACTGCAACGCGATTAGCCAATCGAACAATGCCTTCTCCATATTAGGGTTTTCTTTGGCGGGGAAACGAAGAGTCCATGTTTTGATCTTTTCATCGATTGGCTGATAAAACAAATAACGAACTCTTCCCGAAACCATTTTCCAAGGTCATACGAAAATTGCTCGAATATTGCCAGTAACGCGTCTTTGTTTGCTAAGGAACTTGACATAAGCGAAACAAATATCTCTCCCAGAGCATTATATCAAACCTTACAAACAACAAGAATGAAATCTGAAAAACTGTTCGGCTAAGAAGGTTTCAAAAACGGCAAAGATAATGCATTTTAATCTTCTTCAAGTTCGTCCATCGATGCCTTCTTTTGTATTTGCTTTGTTATTTATACCTTCTTTTAATGTTTTTGGTTATTTTTATGTTCCACCCAATTTGGTAGCAGTCCTTACTGTTTGAATGTTGATAAATTTCGTGACACAGCTCCTTTAACTCCTCGGATACTCGGTGTATCTTGTTCTCATCTAAGCTGTCTACAGTCAAATGTCTCGTTAATTACATTCCCGTTTTTTATTTTTTGCCTTTGGGGAGTTAAGCAACGACTACAGCGACCCTTTTTTGTACATTTTTTAGCCATCTTTGCTCGACTACAACGTGAAAGTGCCTAATTTCACGTTTTTTTTGAGGACGGGAACGCAAGACTACAACTTTCTTTTTCTTTTCCTGAACTTTGATACAGTCCTTTAGAATTCAACTTCAAAAAAATTTGCCAACATTTGACGAGTTAAACGAGATGGAATAAGCGCGATAAAGTTTGAAGCAGCGCAAATTCACTTTTTAAGTGACGTTTTCTTGGCCGTCGCCATCAATGTTACTTAAGCTCCCTTTTATCGAGCACAGCGTGACTGGGCCATTTGTGCGCAGGACTTGCGTTCTACACTTGTTCTCGGTAATCCCAAGTTCAACTACTCCAACCAGCTTGTAAAGCAGAGCCAACAAGCTGGCCTTCTCCCAGTTGGCATTCCTACTTGTTATGTCTATATCAATTATTTGTTTCTGTCCTTATCACAGGGTCCAGAGGAGTTTCGTGTGAATAAATGAATTACTTATTTAAAGTCTCACCTTGAAAAATGTCTATACCTGTCGCTTAGCACGATTAATTAGCCCAATGGGATCTTTATAAATCTACTGTAAACGATTTCTTCGCTTCTAATCTGACCCAGATCGACTTTTGAAAATCAATAACCGCAAGCCATATCCTCGCTGGCGCACGGCACGTCGCCCGAAGGGTGACCGAAGGGCGACCGAGGCACGAAGTGCCGAGTATTTTATACTGTAAGCCGATCTTGCGAGCCCTCAGTCTCTTGGTTTGCGGTCTATAGAATGTGTAACGAAACTGTAACGCGATCAAAATAACCCATTTTTTTCAGAGGTTTTCGACGGGTTTTGATGTCCTAACGACAAACACATCTCCTCTGGACCCTGTGTCCTTATTTATGGGCCAAAACGTAAACTACATGTACTGGGTTATAATTAATTTATTGTGTTATCCAAATAAAGTCGTTAATTAGTTTCACGCCTTTCTTTTCACACGTAGTACACAAAACCGCGTGACGGAGCAGAAGCACAGTTTTTACAAACCCTTTGCAGTGCTTGTTCAAGGTACTCTTTTATTTCTATTTTTTTTTCTAATTATTAAAACTTGCCTTTCTTTTGTCCCAATACGCTACCATTATTTGTGTCGTCACACAATGCTCGCCCTTGAAACATTATTTTAATGTTGTCTGGCAACCAAAACAACAACCTTGTCCCCAGATTCTTTCTTCAGGGCACCGACGAGAGGAAGAGAAACACTGGAAACGAAGTTGCCAAAGTGGCTGCGCAAGAGACTGGACCTTCCGTTGTTATACAGTTTATTTCATTGTGGACCGAATTTGGCATTATTAACTGAATTGTAATGAGATTTAGCCACCTTTGAGAGACTGAAAAACAGGCCCATCATTCTAAACGATAAGCTGAGACTCAAAACGCCATCTCTTGAGTCCTAATACAGCAGCCAGTTCGCTAAGTAAATCATTCAGTCAAATTTATTCATATAACTGAAAAGAAAAATAACATATCAATCCTAACGTCCAGAAAAATGATGACAGTTCTAGAAGCTGACCGCGATATTTAAGCCGATTCTGTTTGCTTCTGTGTCACTCACGTCGTGATTTGCAGATAGCTGTCGGACTGAATGTGGGAAAGCAGGCGCGGAAAGCAAAGCAGGTTACATTAACAACACAAAAATGTAAATTTCGGCGGGATGCATTGTTTGTAAACTTGGCAGATAGAATTGCAGAGCCTGTGAGGATTCGAGGCGGATAATAGCGAGTTTAAGCTAATACGTGGAAGTGGATTTCTTGCATTCTTGGTCAATGTTTTTCCCCAAATTTTCGGGCCAGTCGTCTCTATAAGAGTAAAGACACTTAGCAAGACACGTTTGGTAGCGTCAAGGCATATCAACAGGGAAGAGGTCTCATTTCCGGTTGACTTACTTCCGGTCGTGGCTCAAAAACGTCTTTGCCTAAACTTCCTGTGGTTCTGGACCAAGATGCTGACTTGTTTAATATTGCGCCATGCAGCTGACCCGCAAAAGTTTTTTATCTTCTGATTGTGGCATTCGGTGTTTGTCTAATACTTAACGTTATCTCCAACAGGTTATTCAGATCAGGGAACTTTTGCCCCGTTTGCTTAAAAGTTTATCGAAATGACGAATCGGACTTGCCCATGGTTTGTTGTGACATGTGTGACCGCTGGGTACACACGGGTAAGGGCGTTTTTACTCTTCAAACTTTTTTGTTATTGCGTTATACCCGTAGAGTCACCGAATAAAAATTTCAGAAAAATATTCAGATTTCTCTTTGTTATATCCTAAGAAAAAATAGTATTATACAAGAAATGAAAATTTAAGTCCCCCCTTTTGAACATACATGTAAACATGTACGAAGCCCCCTCACTGAACATGAGCAAAATGTTTTGAAAACAACTGTATTTAATGATTATCTGCAGATTGCACAATCTCAAAGATTCGGTGGGACTAAGAAATGGCTGCCCTGAAGAATGATTTGAATATCCTTCACTGAGTTTTTCAGTAATGCCCTATCATGAAATAAAACGAATAACCCGTAGCTGCCTCTATATTTTCACTATCCCTCCCTTTTCTAACCCCCACCTCTCTTTGGCAGGAAAAATAAGCTCCCAATACTAGGGTATTTGAAAGTACTTTTAGTCAGAAAAGCTGTCACTTAAACTTTTGGTTGTGCTAAATTACAGAAATGAATATCTTTATCTATATTTACACAAAACAACTATTTCGAAGTAGATAAGAATTCTCGGGGGCGGGTAATAGACCGCCAAGCCGGCAAAGTATTGGAAATCTCCGGGGCGTATCCCTTGAGGGACGGTTACTTATCGAACTTAATTATACCAGATTTGCTTACGAAGTGTTCTTTGCTTGCAGATTGCGATGGTATCAATGAAAAGGAGTATGCTCAACTAGCCAAGACTAAAAGCAAGTACAGCTGCGTATTGTGTCGAGGAGAGAGAGAAGAAAGGATGGACTCCTTTCACAGGAAAAACAGAAATAAGAACAGCTGAAATAACTAGATTTTTAGCCTTTATTTATAACTGATGTACAATTGTCTCTCTAGTGCGAAAAATGTCAGACCCTCTTGATTACCAGTACGTATAGTAAAGAGTTCTGAGCTAGACTGTCCCACATCGGTAGTTCTTCGGGGCTTGAGAAAACTTAAATTCTGCATCTTGTGCTCTGGACAAGAAGGGCTCTTATTTTGCTTGCCCGGAACCATCACAGGACGCAGGAGTGTTAATTGTGACCTTGATTGTTGATTGTAGTTAAATTTTACAGTTAATACCATGATACCGGGCATCGCCTTTGTTTTTATACCGTTGAATCGAGCAAACCGTTTTTCGGTCTTGTAAAACTGGTGAAATGTTATTCTTTGGAAAACCGCTGAAGATAATGACTGTAGACGAAATACTTCGAACTTCGGGCTATGTCGTTCCCACCATTGGATAATATTTCACCAAGTTTGTAACACGATCGCATGACAATATTTCACCAGGTTTGTAACACGATCGCATGACGGTTTGATCGATCAAATTCATATTCGATTCTACAGTAAACAAAGGTGAATTGCGCTATCTACTGTGAAATTTAACTGCAATCAAGGTCCCGGACGACCGGACGGGAGTTTTTCGAGCCTTGGCGCCACTTCTCCGTTTGGCCACGGTTGACTACGGGTTTTTGAAAAGCGGGGCAGCTTGGTTTTTCAGTAGCTTGTTTGAAGCACTTCGCTAGTTAAGTCTGTTTATAAACTTGTTTGTTGGCAATAAACGGCCTTTTTTGAACTAACAAAGAAATACTTCATTTTTAATAGTAGTGTTTCATCTGACGTCAGGAACACGTGGAGCGATTCATCAAATATCCAAACACTAAGAAGTAATACATCAAACACGATGAGTCTTTTATCTGATATCCAAACACAGAGAAGTAATGTATCAAACACGAGGAGTGTTTCATCAGATATCCAACACTGAGAAGTAATATATTAAACACAAAAAGGGGTGTCAAAACACTGAGGAGTAATAAACCAAACGCGAGAAAGAGTGTTTCGACAGGTATCCAGAAACTGAAAAGTGATAAAATTATCAAATACGAGAGTTGTTTTATCTGATATCCAAACACGGAGGGAACATATATCAAAAACGATAGAACTGGATATTTGGAAAAACTGACTACAGCCTTTTTCATTACTCATTATACGGATTATTCATGAGCAAAATATGAGCGAAAATCGAACTTCGGATTTTTGCGGACTATGGGTCGTAATTTGAAGAAAGTTGCTATTAAAGCGTTATTGGTTTCGAATTATTAAAAGGGCGTGGATTGCAGCAGGAAATAAATTAAACTCGAAGTAACGAAAGTTGACATGCAGATAGAACAGCTGTTCACTTTTGAAGTTGTGTTGGGGTACTCTCAATCTTACGATCTTCACGTCCTGAAGTCGTTTTTTGAATTGATGCCTTAGACAGCCAGCAATAAAAAGGCTTCAAACGTCTTATAAGACTTTTGAGCCCCGAGTAGTGTTTGTAAAGCCTTTCGATTTTATTCTACTTTCATCTTCATGTCGAGGAGGGGGAAAGTAGGTTGCAAACGCGGCCGTCTCTCCCGCTTCTCGCCTCTTCCCGCGTGGCGTGTGAAACAAAAGCCGAAAAGGACTCTACTCCCGTATGCTAAAGGAAAGGAGCTTTTATATTTGAAAGATTTTGCCTCTAAGAAAGGCCCAGGGGCTTTTACTCTCCTTCTTAAGCTCCTTTGTCCCTAAACGAACACCGTTTCGCGACTCGTGTCTGTTTAAGGAGAAAGAAGAGAGAAAACTAGACAATTAGCTGTGGGTAATAGAAATGTAAGGGGCGTTACTGAGAGAACAGCTGTTTATCATATCCAAGGGTGTCTTGCCCTATTCTGCAATTAGTTGCGGCCGTTTTCGTGCGATAAGATTCGTTTCCTAGAACCTTCTTCCATAGAACTTAAAGCCCCGAAAAGATAAAAAATGCCTCTGATAGGTCACACCCTTTTCACTAAAACTGGTGACGATTGCGATCAGTTAAAACAAAAAATGCTGAGTGTATGAAGAGTTCTTGTTGAGGAATACTGAGAAAACGAGCAGCACCAAGTAAAGGTGCTCGTTAAAAGCCTCCATTGGAGTGATTATGCCATAGGTTTTCATCCACAAACTTATAATAGTACAGCATCGCAGGAAAGTGCCACTCGGTGTCTTTCATCCTATACAAGGCCTTTTTTCAACAGATTCAAAGCGTCTACCGATTCATTCCTTTATGGGTGTGCCTGCGTTATCTACACATTGGCTTGCAAAGTTAGAAGTTTGTCGGGCTTCAAGTTGAAGTTTTAGTTTGTATCTTTATCATGGGATGGCACCAGAAAGATTTATATCGCCTTGATGAACTCACTTCCGACTCACGACAAGGGGTTGGTAAATGTCGGATTGCGGCGTTTTTAAGAAGGCAGTGAGCGCTTTATGTGTGAAGATAGACGATGAACTGATGGGTAAAAATAAGATTAGATATCCAAATACGAGACATCGCATCTTAAAAGGTAATACGAATTCCGGAATCTCGGAAACTTTTTCATTTGGTATTCGGAATCCTAGGCTTTGGAATCCAGAATTCAGCTCAAGGAATCCGGAATCCTGAAAACCAAGCTCCACTGACTAGGAATCCGGAAATGACAGCGTGGAATCCAGAATCCAAGACTGTCTTGGTTTACCTTACATCCGCGAAAGACAAAACTATGAAAAAGGAAAAAAAAATCTCTGATTGCGCCAAAAATGAGTGGCAATTAAGCAAAGCCGAACTCATTTTAAATCGGTCTCTTCACAATATGTTAAATTCTTTACATCTAAACACTAAGAAGCTTACATCAGTGAGGTAGCACTCTCGCCTCAAATTAAATCTATAACTTCGTTATAATAAGATTGACAGTTTGCTTGAATCCCATTGTAGTCTTTGTATATTTAGTCCTGCTTTAATTATGAGTAGTTTTTTAGTATAATTGCTTTGAATCGCTTTGTTACTTTCATATAGAACATCATGTAGTTTCTTATGTGAAAGATACGTTCGCCTCAGGTGTTGAGAATTGTTGAACCTCCATTCACAACCCCTTAATTCTTATCTAAAGCTGTTTGTCACTTCTCTTAAGATTTCCCAAATACGGTGCACTGAAGCCCGACCACCTCGAACACAGCTTTTTAAGATGACAGTTTAACTTAATTTGCCATAAGTTTGACTGCTTAACATATGCTTCCATATCTTATTGTCTCCTATTAGTACAAATTGGATAAGTGAAGCTAAGGGAACCCTAAAGCCACTGATAACGCGATAACGCAGAAGCCAATTGCCTCCTGAATGACGGCGTTTTTGATATTTTCGTTATCCAATGTTGAGCTGACAAGACTTCGAAACAACGTACGATGCACGTTAAACGACAACATGGTAGAACTGGTATTAAGAACTCCTGGTACCCTCACGGGAGGTATGACTTTTTCCTGTGTCTCATAAATCACGTACCCAGATCTCTTTTTGACGAAGGCGAAGTTTCTCTTTNAACGCGATAACGCAGAAGCCAATTGCCTCCTGAATGACGGCGTTTTTGATATTTTCGTTATCCAATGTTGAGCTGACAAGACTTCGAAACAACGTACGATGCACGTTAAACGACAACATGGTAGAACTGGTATTAAGAACTCCTGGTACCCTCACGGGAGGTATGACTTTTTCCTGTGTCTCATAAATCACGTACCCAGATCTCTTTTTGACGAAGGCGAAGTTTCTCTTTTCCTTTATCTGTGTGTGTTAATGAAGGCATCTTTAACACCTCTATCTAAGCTTTCGATCATAACCGCCCTCATATCTTAAAACAATAAAAAACTATATTTAATTCCATCACCGGCTGGCGCCTTGCTTGCAACGGTTGTTTATTTGGACACATCGGTTATTGGATTTATTGGATAGCTAAATACAATAAATGCTTATCAATGGGATGCCTGAAATACATACAATTCCACAATTGGTTTCAGCTCCTTTAAATCCTATACTAATTATAATCGCAGAACAAAGTATGAGCCACCCACAATGTGAGGGAGCACAGATACTCGGACGCGTTAGGCAGACAACGCATCCTCACTTGTGGTAGTGAAAGGGGAATCGCGCGGAAAAGACTAAGCGCGATTTGGGGTCCTCATCTCCAATTTGTCGTTCTATTAGAGAGACGATTCGTTACGTCACGTTGCCATGATAGCAAAATTTCTGGATCTCAACAAACTGTGGTCCTACATATACGGCGGGAAAAAAAAAACGAAAAAATGTCATATATGACTACCCTGTGCGTGACGCACTCAGGAACCATCTTTCGACAACGCAAATTGCTGTCTGTGTGAAGAAAGATTGTTTAGATCCAGAAACTTTGTAACCTTGGTAACGTGACCTCAAACTTCTCCTCTCTATTGGTCCACGTCTAGTGGGTTTTTAGATCTGCACCCGCTATCCTTACATTGTCGTCTTGCTCTTTTAATTTTGCTAACTCCTCCGAGGGTCGCGCGCGCCCCATTTAATGGAATCCGGAATCCGGGATAGTTTTGCTTTTGGAATCCGGAATCTTGGACTTTGTAATCCGCAATACAGATCAAGGAATTCGGAATCCCACTAACTACTGGAATCCGGAATCCAAGTTCCAGTGACAAAAGCCGATGATCCGGAATCCAGTACCTGGAATCCAGAATCCAAGACTGTCTTGGATTCCCTTACATGGAGCGACAAAGGGAAAAACGCAAAAGGATACAAAACAGGTTAACGCACAAGACATTAGAGAGTTTAGAGTCACGTTTAAGGCAAACGGTAAACGTCAGACAGCAGACTCAAGTTGAGAATCAAATTTTTCAAAATAGAAGAAATGAGGAGGTAAAAACAGTCTAAAACAATACTTATGGTTGAAAATAGCGTGAAACTACCAGGAGCCCATGACAATGTACTTTGTTTTTCGTAGAAGAGATAAAGAA